GATACCTCAAAATTCCTGGAGCTGACGAATACCTTGAACAACGGTAAGGTGCCGGTTTCGCAAAATTCTAAAAATAAAAAAACGGCCATCCTTTGGTTCTGTTATCCTAGGGCATCCAGAACCGGGCCTTCCACGGTAGGATCCAGATTCTTGAAAACGTCTAATGGCGTCTTGCAGTTTTTCGTAGGGAATTCCATGGCAATAGCCGCATACCTGATGGAACGTCCATTACCAATGCCACACCACGCGCAACATCCTCAGCACTAACTGGCATTTTTAAGTTTAAAAATTCAAATTAAGAAAGCAAAGATAAAACCTAAACGGTTTATTGCTTTAGGATTCAAATGAAACTGAATAAACATTTTAAATTCCGTAAAAATTAAACATTGACAAATCCTTTATCCTTGTTTTAGATTAAGGATTAATTGTGTTTACGTCTAATTGACATTCCCAATTTAAAATATAGCATAAACAAATATTTATTCATAAAAACAATGAGACAAATTAAGGGTAGAATTTTCTTTTATCGAGAAAATGAAAAAAAAATCAATTGGGTGGAATTTTTTGTCTGTCATATTCAGTTCAAACGAAGGGGTGTCTTATAAAATAATCAATTTGATTGATCAGGGGAAGTTTATTCCTTAATATTTTTGATTAACAGTGCTCGAAAAAAGTTTCTTTTTAGGGGATAAAATGAATAAAAATTGATAAAATATTAAATCCATTGAAGTGTCGATTGCATATAGAATCTTTTTTGATCATAATGAACCGAGTAAAATTGAAAACACACGAAACATGATCATATAGCCATACAATTGTATAAAATGCTTGTGCAAGTGTGTTAAAAAGACAAAAAATTGGAGCTAATTGAGACATTTATGTACATTAAACCATCGGCATGTCCCGAGTGGCAAAAGGCTAGTTGAGTCCAATTCAGGGAATACAAAAACAAGTGAAACATTTATCCAATCTACTCTTTTAGTAAAGCTGACAACTGAAAGCTTTTTCCAAGGATAGTAAGCAAATTTTGTAAGACTCAGGATTAGTTTAACTTCTGTTCCTTCATATATAGTTTTTGTTTTCGGGAAAAACCTAGAGACACTTTTATTTTTTGTATAGTGTTTTTGCGTTCTACGAAAACGTTTTGATCTAATACTCATCAATGTGCATGTTTGAAAACTGGTTTACACGCTGGTTTCGACGGTGCAAACAGTTTTTAATTTGGATCAACTGTTCTCAAGTTATTTGAAAAATACTGTTTCCAAACATTGACTTGCGGAAAAACGAAATCTTCTTTAACTTGTTCAACCATGAAACAATTAACTTTTTTCATTTTAATTTATGTAAATTAATTGTTTTACATGTTAACTAATATTGAGATTTGTACCAGACTGAATCGTGCTTTGATGAGCTACATCCAGAGCGTATTGTTAATCGACGTTACTTGAGGAAATTGTTGCGAAATTTTTCTTTCGGTAACTCCACCAATTAATTTGCTATCAGTTAAAATGACAAATAAATAATATGGCTCTGGGTTGAATAAGGTGGAGGAGAAATTCGTATTTTCGAAAATCAATGTTTGGAAATTGTTTTGTTGCAAAAACTTGAGAACGGTTGGTTCAAATAGAAAACACAAAATCTACCCTGGCGAGTATGTTGCTAATAGAAATAGTTAAGCTTCTATTCGTATACCACTATCCTGGAGAGTTAGATCAAAACTTTTTGATTTATGAGAAACTGAAGAAAAAATAAAAGTTCATTTTTTTTAAAACGCTTTAATAAAAAATAATAGGGGAGAGAACAGAAATAAAATTCACCCTGTAAACTATTAAGTATTATAGAAGGAACCAAAATTAATAACGAAATTGACCAACCGTTTCACAATAAAATAATACAAATTATCATATTTTTATTTTTAAAAAATTAACAGCTATGAAGGACATTCAGCTTAATTTAAGTTATCTCATATCAGTCAAATTGGCTCATTTTGTTTTACTTTTTACTTCTCACATGAAATAATGAATATAACGTTAACAGAATAAAAAAAATTAGAAAAAATACAAAGGCTTAAAATAATTGAAAAGAAATCTGACTGCTACAATTGACCAACCGTTTCACAATTAAATAATATAAATTATCATATTTTTATTTTAAAAAATTAACAATTACGAAAAACATTAAACTTAATTTAAGTTATCATATATCAGTGAAATTTGCTAATTTTTGTTTTACTTTTTATACTTCTCACATGAAAGCATGACTAGAACATTAACCGAATTAAAAAAAAGAAAAAATAGAAGAAATATAAAGGATAATTGAAAAGAAATCTGACTGTTACAATTGACCAACCGTTTCACAATTAAATAATATAAATTATCATATTTTTATTTTAAAAAATTAACAATTACGAAAAACATTCAACTTAATTTAAGTTATCACATATCAGTGAAATTTGCGAATTTTTGTTTTACTTTTTACACTTCTCACATGAAAGAATGAATAGAACGTTAACTGAATTAAAAAAAAAAATAGAAGAAATATAAAGGCTTAAGATTGAAAAGAAATCTGATTGTTACACTTGACCAACCATTTCACAATAAAATAATATAAATTATCATATTTTTATTTAAAAAAATTGACAGCTACGAAAGACATTCAACTTAATTTAAGGTATGTCACTCAGTCAAATTTGCTGATTTTTGTTTTACTTTTTACTTCTCACGTGAAAGAATGAATCGAATGTTAACTGAATTTAAAAAAAATTAGAAAAAATATAAAGGCTTGAATCTGATTGTTACAATTTTTTAACTGCAGCCTTTTTGGAGGGGTTTATTATTTAGATTTTTTTACAAATTGAGGAAACGCAAATATTTAATGATTTAGATCCGCACTTAAACACAATTGATGGCAAATTCTTCTTTTGCGCATTTTACCAAAAGCATACATCAATTGAAAATATGATTTATGCTCTTCTATTGTGCCCAGTACAGTTTAATAGCATTTTGAAGAAGAAAAATAAACAACATAAACAATAACACACAATTATGTTTTAACCTTAGCAATTGATAAAACGTTAAAACACTTTTAGTACGAAATTATGCCTTTCATTTTTAATTGGTAGCATTAATAAAAGTCGAATATAAATAAGTTTCCTATTTTTCATCCTAAAGTACCCCGTCAGCAATGTGCATTTGTCTAACAAAGCACCTAAAGTTACTGTGGCAAGTTTATCATTTAAAACTTGACATTTCTCTTTTTTCCAGCGATAAATGTGGAAAAAACCGAATACATGTTTGTTAATATTTTTTTATTAAGTTAACTAGAAATAAACTGAATGAATATTAACTGGATGTTATATCGGGTTGTCCGGAAAATAATGCAGGATTTTAAGTTTTCATTAAAAAAAATCTATATAAAATATTCTGTTTACGTTTACAGGATTACTCATTTGTATGAATGTCAACACTTATTAATCCTCTTCCAAATGATATTGTTTGTTTACCTCTGTAGCATTCCGCTACTTGGAAATAATTCAGTCATCCTTATAATGTCAAAGCGAGATTTTCGTACGATTTTCTTTTACGAGTTTAAACTCGGCCGAAGCGGAGCCCAAACGGCTAGAAACATTAACCAAGTCTGGGGCGAGGGTTGTGTTAATGAGTGCTCTGTGCAAAGGTGGTTTAAAAAATTTCGGGAGGGAGATTTCAGCCTTGAAGATGAAGAAGGTCGTGGAAGGCCTTCCTCTCTTAATGATGATGTTCTGCGATCAGTGGTGGAAGAAAACCCCAAAACAACTGTTCGAGAACTTGCAGAGCAACTCAAAGTCAGTAAAACGACCGTCGCTGACCACCTCAAGGCGATTGGAAAAGTGAAAAAACCCGAAAATTGGGTTCCACACTCATTAAACGATCGCCAAAAAAATCAGCGCTTTGATGTTTGTGCATCACTTCTTTGTCGAAACAAAAATGACCCATTTCTGGCCAGAATTGTTACATGTGACGAAAAGTGGATTCTCTACGATAACACTAGACGTTCTGGACAGTGGCTCGACAAAGGAGAAGCTCCAATACATTTTCCAAAGCCCCCAACTCATCAAAAAAAGGTAATGGTTACGGTATGGTGGGCTTCATTTGGTTTAATACACTACAGCTTCTTAAATCCTGGCGAAACCATCAATGCTGAATCATACTGTAACCAAATTAATACCATGCATCAGAAATTGGCAGTAATGAAGCCCTCTTTGGTCAATCGGAAAGGGCCCATTTTGTTGCATGACAACGCTCGACCACATGTGTCACGTGTAACGTCACAAAAATTATTGTAGCTTGGCTATGAAACTTTGCCTCACCCACCCTACTCTCCGGACCTCTCGCCTACTGACTACCATTTTTTTAGACACCTGGACCACTACTTACAACACATAATATTCAAAAATCAAACGGAACTGGAAAATGCATTTATTGACTTTATCAATTCTAAAAATTCTGAATTCTACTCAGACGGAATTAATAAGTTACCAACACGTTGGGAGAAATGTATTGAGAGTATGGGAAATTATTTTGATTAAAGAACATTGCTTTAAAGTAACTAGTTTCTTTTTTTTTGTTTAATACCAAAATCCTGCATTATTTTCCGGACAACCCAATAATATTGTTAATTATAAATTGTACATGTACGCAGCATTTTTTGTGTGAAATTTTAATATTAAATGTTAGCATGCAGATGACCTAGGTGTTTTGGTTTTCTTTTTATAAAACGTAAATAATTTTTCAAGTAGGTATAAACATTTTTCATACCAACACAATTTTGGCCGACACTTTCTCTCTCCATAAATAATATATTTCAGGCAAATTCGGAGGTTCATTTCAGGGAGTCAAGCGAGCGGACTAAAAGCCATTGGGCACGGATGAACTCTCTGAAACTGTTTACGCCCGGTTTGCTCGATCTGTCCCAAGTCGAAAAGTTGACATTTCATACATCGATCGTTTGTTTTGTTGCAGATTCAACTGGATCGTTATGTCGGAAGGAGCGAATACTGATCCGTCGGCGTCGCACACGGCCCTCTTCCTGTTCAAAGAAGACAACCCGCTGAGACAGAAGACCAAAGCTATTGTCACATGGCCGTATCTTTTTCAAAAATTTCGAACATCAATCGAAAAAAAGCCTATATCTCTTGATTTTTCACTATAAAGGACACGTTTCGCACACATACAGCAAACCTCAGATCCAGCCACGTCCTGACTCGTATTCCTATCAATAATACAAACATATTAATTTAATTTTAATAAATTGTAAACACTATGTTTTTATAATACAATAAAACATAACAAAAACTATATAAAACAATTTGAAGCTATTTCAACGCGTAGTAGGGGATGAATGATGATAATAGCAGAATAAAGTAAAATACATAAATAAAAAAAATAATTTATTACAATTAATTATGGTTTTTAGTTGAGATGAAAAAAAGTTAATGGCACGAGCGGGATTCGAACCCACGATCTTCGGCTTGATACGCCGCTCCTCTACTACTTGAGCTATCGTAACTTCGATCCACTCGGACACCAAACTCCCATCTCAATCACACCTTTTGAATTTTCCCTCCTTTTTGCCATTTTTCAAATGTCGTTTAATCAATTTGATTCTCGGCGACAAATCCAACGTATATAAACTATAAAACACATTTTTCACATCCTATATGAAATGTATGTGTATTTGTATAATTTAAACAATGTTTATAAATCCCAGGCCCTGAAGATGATCTCAGTAAAGATCGAAACGTTGGCACGATAAAGAAAATGTTTTTCTACAACTTACGTCACAACCGACCGCATCTCACGATCTCCAAATAATCATTAATTAACGGTCACTAAACACCACGCACTTTTAAAAAAAAGTTAAATCCTAAAAACTTACAATCTGTGGGTAATATCCAACTAAAAAACAGTTTAAACACCATACTTAATCCACGTTTATCATTTATTAGACGCATGTTTGTATTAAGCAATTTTTGTTATTAAAAAAAATAGCAAAAATACTTTCCTTTCAGCCTAATCGAGTTGCCAAATCCTTATCCAACAGAAACCACCTTCATATTTCCGCAGACGACTAAGGAGGCGATCGCCTCGCAATATAAATATCTCGCCTATAATTGTGAGAACAATGGTTGTTAACTCCCCTCACGACATATGATCCATGCCATTACATAATATAAATATGGTTACGGATTGTAATAAATATATTAAATTTAAAAAACTTCGTAGTTTTTAACTGCTTGTTTCGTAAGAACCTCTACGTAGATCTACGATTTTATGTAATCTAATTGCATTACGTAAAATGTGATATGTTTAATACACGCATTTTTAATATATTGACATATCTTAACTGAATCTTAGACCATTCGAATACATCATTCTCGTAGTGATCGTCATCAACTGCGTTATCCTCGGGTTCGGACTCTACTTGCCAGAAGATAACAAAACTGCACAAACTCTGGTAATAAAACGGATGAGTATAATAAAAATTAAGATTTTATTTAGTGGGAAAAGCTTTTAGCTAGTCAAAAATAATCAGATATAATGATTTCAAACTATAAGACTGTAGATTTTTAAGTCAATTGTTTTAATTCATTACAAGTTAAAAAATCATAGTTTATAATTATTTTTGTTATATTTTGTACATACTTACATATGGATAACGTCAAATTTTCAGGAAAAGACAGAGATCTACTTTCTTCTTATATTCATTTTTGAAATGGTGTTGAAATGCGTCGCATTCGGTTTCTGCCTTCACCCCGGCTCGTACATCCGAAACCCCTGGAACATAATCGACTTTTTCGTCATTGTCGTCGGGTACGGAAAAGGAGAAATCCTTGCAATTTGACTCTGAAATTTTTAAATATATTTGTTATTTTTTTAATCTTTCAGAATCCTTTCGTTTTTCCCGCTCGGGATCGAGCTCAGCGTTCTCAGGATGCTCAGGGTTGTCAGATTGCTCAGGTTATTCCGCCTCGTTAAGATCCTCCGTAGTAAGTAACATTTATTTATTTGCAATAAAAGTAAAAAAGATAATACTGTAAACGTTTCGTAATTGATAATTTTTATGAGTCATCATTCAACGTTATTTAAAAATTACAATTAATTAAGGTTTTTAGTTGTGATAAAAAAGTCAATGACACGAGCGGGATTCGAACCCACGATCTTCGGCTAGATACGCCGCTGCTCTACCAGAGGTCACGATAGCTCAAGTGGTAGAGCAGCGGCGTATCTAGCCGAAGATCGTGGGTTCGAATCCCGCTCGTGCCATTGACTTTTTTATCTCAACTAAAAACCTTAATTAATTGTAATTATTTAAAAAAAAAGATAATTTAAACAAAACTTAAACACCGTCTAAAATCACATTTATACTTCTTCTCGTATTTAGTTATTTTAATATAAACATTTCAAGTTTGTGATATATATTTGAAGGTTCAGACCGATTGAATAGATCATACAAAAATAACATTTTCGCCTAAGTTAGTTTACTTCGTTATGTTTTTACAAATGAGCAGTAATTTTTCAAATAAGTATGTTTTTGAATAACCGCCACGTACATTTTTTCCCCCGACTCACGACCTTACATGTTCCACATCATCACCAGCGTTTCGTCCCATTTCCCGGCGTTCAACATGGTGTCATTAGATCTAATACTCCTTGCAACATACACTCACAGGCTCAACTGAAAATAAATCCAAAAAAATCCTATACGGAAAGTAAGATTTTAAACATTCTTATATTATAAAAGAAATAACGACAGTGGCGTTTTCAATGACGTTATAGTTCTTCTCAACCAAACTTTAATAAAGTATTATAAATTATATACATATGTTTTACATTAGAAATAACAATAAATTTTGGCATAAGGATAACTACAAAGTGTGATTAAGCGGACCATAGATAAGTAGATAATTATATTAGGTTAAGCATGACTCATTATAAATTTATAAAAAGATTCATAAAAAAAACAGTGAAATTAATTTAAAGTGATCATTATTTCATTATATATCGTGGTCCGATTGACCAAATAACTTCTTTCAATTAATTAATCTTTGTGTAAGGTATTGGTTGGAACGAAAAAGTGTCACGAGCGGGATTCGAACCCACGACCTTCGCCTCAACGTTTTTGTTTTTTTACTGTTCAGTATTAATTGTGATGATTTTGCTGCAGCCAAAACGTCAACGTAGTGTTTGTAGAATATTATATTCTTTCAATTAATTAATCTTTATTGGATTTAAATATTACTTATTTAATGGATTTAATAAGTAAAACGAAGTTTATCTTCACTAAGAGCTCTCCGTCGCCATTTTATTTGTCGCCGAGAATCGAATCCTGATTAGAAAAATGGCAAAAAGGAGGGAATATTCGAAATGGCTGTGGGTTGAGATCGGGAGCTGGTGTCCGAGAGGATCTTATTCACTCAAGTGGTAAGAGCAGAGGCGTATTGAGCCGAAGGTCGCGGGTTCGAATCCCGCTCCTGACACTAACTTTTTCATTTCAACCGACACCTTACATAAAAATTAATAAATTGAAAGAGGTTATCATTATTTTTATGATTAAAAAAAAATCAGAGGATGGCAATGAATTTTTTTTTACAAATAATTTTATTCAGAGTTGTCGGGGGTGCAAAAAAAAAAACAAAAAAAAACAATATCAATGTTATATCTTGCTAAAAAATATTTTAAGTTTAAAAAGCAACAGATATATATATANTTTTAATTGAATATATTTTATTTATTTCTAGGATTTGTTGTTAATGTTTCATTATATTAATTTCGTTATTAACTGTGTTTTTTTAAAAGTTGCTTGTTTGAAGATCTTGCCAGTTTCTTTTTTATGAAGAACAGAAAAAAAAACAGTTGTTTTTTGGTTGTAAATATTTCGAAGTACCCGCATTTCTTCTTCAACATACAAATATTTATTATTACGCTATTTTATTTATTTGTATGTTTTGTTCGTACAGCTTCATTCAATTTTATTTACACCTGCGCCAATTGCTGCGCTTATAAATTTCGTAACATGTTAGAAAACAATATAAAATTTACACACAAAATACACATAAGACAGAAAAAAGAGGAACTACTAATTAGTAGTCACTCTAAAACATCAGCGTTATTCACTTTCACTGGGGCGTCAGTGGCTGCAACGGTTTAGGCGTTGACACGGCGCTCATCACTGTAAGGTAAAGGACCCGGGTTCGAATCCAGCGTCCCTGCATTCCAACCCGACATACTTACAAATGGCAAGGGTGCGGTTTCCGACATGGGGGGTTGTGTGACTGGTTAATTGCTTGTGAAACTTCTTGTAGCGGTTTTTCGCTATCTCACGTATATTGGATATTAAGATCATTGTGAATTGAAAGAGTGGATAACTTTAGAAAAGAACATTGACGATGTTTCGAAGGATTTTTGATCGTAGGGATTCGTTGGAGGTTGGAACGTTTTGTTGAACACCAACGTTCAATCCGTTTGTCTCAAAATAATTAAATGAATCTTTTGTTTTGTTCAGCAATCATTTATGAAGCCTGAAACGTCTTTTCAGCTCTTTTTTTAAAATAGCGTATGAGGATGAGCGTAACTCGTTTGTCAATGTACACCTAAAGTAACGGACTACATTGTATGGTGGGAGAGGAATTCTATTGTAGTAAATGGGAGCAGTATACTTCTCCGAAGGGTGAAAGTGACATGTTCACATTTCTGTATATTTATTGTCATCTTCCACTCCTTGAACCACTGCTCAAGAGATGTGACATGAGCTTGCAGGTTTCTGGTTGAGATGACAGGATCTTTATTAGAGAAAAGGATGGCGGTATTATCCGCATAGGTGGTAATGATTCAGGAAAGTAGATATATCTGGGTATATACAGGGTAGAGAACGGGTCGTTCTTTATGGTCTGTGCGATAGAGAAGGGCCACTCGAAAGTATCTGTCGGATAGGTAGGATTTTAGAATCAGGTAGTAGGCAAAAGAGAGGACTCGCTAAAGCTTCCAGAGATACTCGATGGGAAGCTTCCTTCACATCTAGGAATACACCGGACCAGCACTTCTTGCGCTCCAGAGCGGTAGGGATGATGTATAAACGCAATGGCACTGCTGAATAGTGGAATGAGAACGTCTCAACGCAAACTGCTGGCTTAAATTAACTTTACTCTAATCTATCTAACTTATCTTTAATCGGACTAAAACCGAAAATGGCCCATTGGCTATATACGGCAGTAATAAGACCCAGAATAACCTACGGATCACTAATCTGGTGGAACAAAGCTCAACAAAAAGTAGCTACTCAAACATTAGGCAGCTTACAAAGATTAGCAAACCTATGTATCACAGGGGCGATGAGAACAACCCCTACAAACGCATTAGAAACCTTGCTAAACCTACCTCCACTTGAAATATTCATACAAGGAGAGGCTAGGAAAAGCTCATTTAGGCTCCAAAAACAATTAAATTGGAAAGGAACCAAACAATTCGGGCATACAACCATAATCAATAAGATCAGACACCCATTATTAGAAATGGGGGCTGACTACATGATTCCGGAAACAATCTTCACAACTTCCTATAAAGTCTCAACAGACTATAAAGGAGAGGAAGAACACAGGAAAGCACCAGATACAATGATATGGTATACGGATGGCTCCAAAACAAACGAAGGAACCGGATCAGGCGTTTTCTGTACAAGCCCAAAATATGAGCAATCAAACTCATTAGGGAAGTATACTTCGGTCTTTCAAGCAGAAATACATGCCATCAACGCTTGTGTCCTGGAAAATCTTAAAAAAGGTTACACTGACAAAAAAATCCTCATAAGATCAGACAGTCAAGCAGCTATTAAAGCATTGGCATGTAAAAGAATTACATCAAAACTAGTCAGTGAATGTATCCAAAATCTCCAAAACCTGGGAAAACACAACAACCTGATGATATCTTGGGTGCCAGGGCACAGGGGAATTCTGGGTAACGAAGAAGCGGACAAACTGGCCAGAGGAGGATCTGCAAGACCATACATAGGCCCCGAACCTATCCTTGGGATAACAAAAACAAACATAGAATCCTCCATCGCAGAATGGATCCAAACAAAACAAAGAGAGAAGTGGATAAACTCTAGCGGTGCTAGACATAGTAAACTTATGATGAAACAACCCTCACCAAAATTGACAAAAACACTGCTGCAATTAGAGAGGGCAAAACTCAGAGGAGTGGTGGGACTACGAACCGGTCACTGGTATCTGAGAAAACACCTACTCAACATGGGTATATACAATGATGATCCCATTTGCAGATTATGTAATGAGGAGGAGGAAACAGCCACTCATATCATCTTCGAATGCGAAGGAACAGCTCAATGGAGGTTTAACCTAACGTACGAAAAAGACTCAGGGAACCAAATTGCAGCAATAACAGTCAATGACCTGATACTTCTAAGAAGAAGGATTGAGTCTATTGACTAAACTAGGGAACTGGGAAGGTACAATAAGCCAGAAGGCTGCAGTGCCTGGGGAACACAAGCCCCGCTTCCCAGCATCCCTTCCACCATACCATACCATACCATACTTTAATCCATTATATTTCGTGGTCTGATTGACCAAATAACTTGTTTCAATTAATTAATCTTTATGTAAGGTATTGGTTGAAATGAAAAAGCTAGTGTCACGAGCGGAATTTGAACCCACGACCTTCGGCTCGCCGCTGCTCTACCACCTGAGCTATCTTGACTTCGATCCACTCGGACTCCATTTGTCGTCGAGAATCGAATCCTGAATACGCATTTGAAAAATTCCAAAAAGGAGGGAAAATTCGAAAGGTAGGTTGAGATGTTGATGTCCGAGTAGATCGAAGTCACAATAGCTCAAATGATAGCGTTTTCATTTCAACCAATACCTTATATAAAGTTACTTTTCATTATTTTTGCATTATCTCCAAATCAACTCTCAACAAACTTTTAAAAAATATATTGGCGAGCACGTATATAACTATTTGGGAATCTTCTATT